CCAGGCTGGATGCCATCACAGCCCTCACGTGTCATCTGTCGGTCCCTGTGTCACCCATCTACAGCTGTCCACCACCATCCACACTCAGCCATCACCGGTCACCCAGAAGCTTCTCCCCCATCACCTAGCAATCCACCTGCCATGGGTCGTCATCTGTCATCTGTCCATTTATATATTTGTCATCTATCAATCCACCTGTCACCCATCTGTCACCTATCATCTGTCTTTCTACCTCTCATAGGATCTACCATCCATCCATCATCTCTCTCTGGGTCTCTATCCTCTGCCCTGTGCGGTCATTCAGAAGTCCTTTGTGGTCACATCTTCCGTGGCTCTCACAGAACCTAGCGTCTGTCCACCTTGATATCGTGAGTCATCTTCTGGGTGTTTTTGCCATTCTTAAGTGACACCAGGGCTTTGGTTGACTGGTCTCTGCACCACATGGGTGGCTTTTTGAAGGACAGCTGCATGTGAGGGTGACAGACTTGCTGGCTCCCAGCACCTGGGCCTCACCCTGGGCTCCTGGTCCTTCCTCCCGAGGTCTCTGACTGGTGCCATGCGCCTCCTGCTGCACGCCTGTCACTGAGGACAGAGCACGAGAAGCCACATCCCTGCCACACTGCCCCTTAACAGGGACAGGGCCTGGGAGGCCAGGGGATGGGCACAATGGGGAAGCAGGAGGATGCCGTGGGGGGCCCTGCAGGAACCTGGAAGGATGAGGGTGGAGCACAGGGGCCGAAGGGAGAAGCTCCGACCCGTGTGTGTGAGGTTCGGTCGGGGGCTGGAGGGCACAGGAAGCAGGTCACAGAGGCCCTCAGGTCCTCTCAGGCCTGGGGCAGCTCCGAAAGCTTTGGCTCTCCCCTGAGTATGGTGGACACTGCCAGAGTGGCTGAGCAGAGGGACAAAGTGGCCTGACTTGGGTGTCCAGCAGGGAGTTGCAGTGCTGGGTGAGCCAGGTAGACAGAGTGCCCAGCAAGAGACCCCACTCAAAGCTATTTGGTCAGGATCTGTTACTGGGTGTGCTGATGGACTTGGGGTCCCAGAGCCAGGACCAGGACCTTTGGCTGTATGGCAAGACCGTAGGCAAGTCCATTTGGGACATGAGGCCAGGATATGGTATCACCTGTGCCAGGGTCAGAAGGCTTGGGAATGGCAGGGCAGGGTGTGGAGCACACAGGGCAGGGCTGTGCACTGAAGTTTCGGGTCTGGGCTCTCTCAGCTGGGCACGTCACCCACCAGAGAAAAGCTGCTTCTGTTGGTGGGAACAGGAAGTAAATGTCAGTTAGGCACCATGGGGGCTTCTGGAGCCCAGAGAGGCAGGTGCCATCCTGCTGAGCCTCCCTGGGTCCCTCAGTCCAGCCTCTGAGTAGCAGCTGCCCTCCTGGTGGAGACCCAAGCTGGCCTCCGTCCTGCTTCAGGTCCCTGTGCACACCATCCAACTAGGGGAGGTTTGGGGAGGTCCACCAGGCCCTAAATACCATGACCACATTCCCAAAGCCACCAGATCAGCCACTCTCATGCCCGGGCAGGTGGCAGAATCCCATGGAGACAAAGCCAGGGAGGCGGAGGGGCTGGTGGTGCCAGTGGGGTCCAGAGACTAGGGATGCGCTGCAGTCTGCTCTGCCCCAGGAGAGCTGCTTTCTGGGGCTGAGGCCGCACACCCCAGGGGAGTCCAGGCAGCGGGGCCTATGGAGGGTCTGTGTGTCCTGACATCAGGCCGGGCTTCCGAAGATGCATTAGATGAGGGGAGTTTTGGGATGGGAGGGGCGTGGCCCCCAGGACACTGGGGTCCTGGGACTCTCTGAGTGAGAGTTGGGTCACTTGGTGGCCCTGGCACCTGGCTCTGCACCCAGTTTAACACAATATCACCAGGTCTGCAACCCCTGAAGACTCAGCAAGTCTTTATCTTAAAATTTAAAGACACTCGGTGTGAGTGCTCCTTCTGCCCGCTCTGTGAATTGTCCCAGGTATGCTCAGAGATCAGTTGTCCCCAGATAAGCAAAAGAACAATTGGGTCTTTGTATTTAAACCCTTAGGTTGATTTCTTGACAAAAGAACAAGGGGAACATGGCCTTGACCCTGGTAGGACTGGGCCAGGAGCAGCCCAGCAGCAGGCTGCAAAGTAGAGCTCCTGGGGGCACCAGGGCCTTGCTCCCCTTCCTGACCTCGGCCCTGAGGCAGGAGCTGCCCTCTGCAGGCACTTCTGTTCCTGTGGGTCCAGCACCTAGGGGGCTTCTCTTCTGCTGATCTCTGCTCCTGAAACACRGTGGCTGCCTGCAATTGGGGGTGGGGGTCCCCATGACTCTTGTGTTCTGGGAGCTGTGAGTTTTCCTGTCTGGTGGCCCAGCCGGCTAGGATGACCAGTGGGAATGGTCTTTTCCCTCGCCCAGGCGTTCAGAGATGACGTGCTTTCGGTGCCCCTGGCCTTTCTCTGTGAAATGAAACATGGATGGAGACCAGTGCACCCCTGCTCTTCCYTGGCACCACAGCTGAGTCCCCATATGTCAAAATGCGCTGCCCCAATCTGCTGGGAGCCCCAGGCCTCCTTTTGTGGAGATTAACTGAGAGCCTCTGCTCAGCTGGACACATTGGAGGTGGTCAGTTCCCCAGCTCCTGGGCCTGGGATGGAATGGCTGACCGGAGGGCAAGGGCCATTCTGCTCCACGCTGGGGTCTTGGCCCAGACCTGAGGGAAGGCCGCCTGCCCCCTCAGACCACACRCACTGCTTGCCGGCTGCCAGGTGTGGCCCTCCTTTGAAGGGTGACCACACTCCGGAGTGGGGTGCAGGACTTCAGAGGCCTCCCCGTTTATGGGAACAGGCTGCTCTGAGGGCTAAGCCCCACAGGAGAAGAGGTCAGGTTTGGCTTCCTCCAGCCACCCGCTTGCTTTAAGCCCTTCTAGATGGCCCAAGTCACACAGAGAGCTCCCTTGTTATGCGGGTTCTTGGAGATTTGAGTCTGGGGCTGCCTGTGCAGGGGCCTCATGCTGCTCTCGATTCCGGGCTGTGGCCTCTCCAGGTTTCGCTCATATCTCCCACTCTGTGGGATGGGACCCATCTCCCTGTGGCTGGGGTGCTGCTGGACACAGGATCTCCTGCCTGAGTGTGGAGCTGGAAGGCAGAGGACAGTCTGTCCCTGGCTCTCCAATGCTTGGCATCAGCTAAGGGCCTGTGAGCCCTGGTGGCTGGCCCAGCCTAGAGCTCCTAGCACATGCAATTCCATGTTCCCAGGATGGAATGGGTGGCCAGGGTCAGAACCTTGCTCCGAAGCCACCTCCTCCAAGCCAGGAGGAGGAGCTGGGTGGTTCCCAGGTGGCCTTCAGAGGGGTTAGGTGTCTCATGCAGAAAGCCACGTGGTCAGGGTAAAGGAAGGCTTGACCTTTTAGGTTCCCCTTGACCTGTGAAGCCTGCAGGCTTGCGCTGCCCAGTTTCTTGGTGGGAGGGTCAGCAGAAGCATTTTGCAGGATTCAGGGATTGGTTTCTCTGGGAAGGGTGAGCAGCAGGAGGCACAGCTGTGTGCCTCTGACCCCTTGGTCCTCTGCAGAGAGGCACACGGTTAGCATGGTGCAGATGGACGTCCCTCAGAGGTCAGTTCCCCTGCCCATGAGCTTGATTTCCACAGCAATTCATGCGGCATGCTTTTCTGGGTGTCCCTCTAGTGTAGGGTCTTTTGGAAACTGTCCCTGCCCTGGACACTTGTTGTAGTGGAGGGTGGCAGACCACAGACCTAGGGACAGATAAGGTACAGGCCCAGGACAGGGTTAATGCTATGGGAGGTCACAGGGGGCTGGGAGGAGGGTGGGCGGGGGTGGAATGTGCTCATCTGAGAAGGTGAAGAGAACTTGGTTGGGCCAAGCCTCCGTCTAGGGAGGAATGTTCTGGCTGAGGCCTGCAGAGTCCCCAGGTACGGGCAGTTTTAAGAGGCTCTGTCATCTATTGAAAGAACCCCAGGATGCAGGGGGGAAGCGAGAGGAGTGAGGGTTCCCCTTTGCCAGAGCATCAGTGGGAGCAGGGCCTGCACTGCCTGGTGCTGCCCGGAGCTGTCGGGCAGACTTCTGAAGGGGACCGTGAACCAGCCTCTGGCTTCGTGGAAGGTTTGGAGGTGCTGCCTAGAGGGGCCGTCCATCCTGCTGGACACTCCTGACCACCAGATGGTTAGATTACCATGCACCTGTGAGGGAGAAGACACCCCTCTGCCCTGTCCACTTGGGATGCAGGGGCTGATCAGTCTGCAGGAGAGAAGGGTCTCGGGAAGCAGGAAGGCTCACCATTGGCGTCACTTGGGGTCAGAGAGCAGAGTGACTGCCACAACCAAAGGAGAGGTGCGACTTGATTGGGACTCAACCCGATGCCATGTGTCCCTGGAGCCAGACCACCTACGAGCAGCCTGGCTTTCCCGGGCTGCTGGATGAGCTTTCATCTATTAGGGCCAGGCTGCTGTACAGCACCCTGAGCTGTCCCCAGGGGTGTCCCAGAGAGGACACGCACCCCAGAACAAGGGGTCCCATCCCTCTGGCCACTTCTTCCTTTATCCATTCACCCAGTAAATGTTTAGTAGGCGCCTGCTGTATGCCAGGCTCTCCAGCTCATGGGCAGAGAGTGAGAACAGACAGGGGCTCTGTTCCCATCCCACGCGCATGCTGGGGGGACAACAACTAAATGGGTGACTGTAATGTATCACATGGGACCACTACTGTGAAGAGGAAATTAGAGGAGTGGGCACAGGAAATGAGTGGCATTGCTTGCTTGAGGCCTGGCGTGGAGGCGAGGCGGACTCTGGGAAGAGCAGACCAGAGAGGTCCCAGCCTGCCCAGGGAAACTGCAGCTTGGGCTGGTGTGGGCAGAGGGTGGCGTGGGACGGGTCGGGCACCTGGCCACTCTCACCACCTCAGGGCAGCAGGTGGAGAGTCAGTGGCTGAGCTCTGCCTCRCCCTAGAGCTTGGTTGTGGGGCTCACTCCTCTGCCCCCACGTCATATGCATGTCCCTTTTCCTTCATTTCAGACTCATAAGCAGCACATTGATGCCACCAATGCCAGCAACCGCGTCTTCCTGTACTGTGCCTTCCTGAACTTCAGGTACTGTCTCAGGGGCACAGGGGAGGGTGCCAGGGGGAGGGGGAGAGAGCACCAGGGGGAGGATGGGGGAGGAGGACGCCAGGGAGAGGGTGGGGCGGGGGGAGCCTGGTCGGGGCATGGTGCCAGGCAGGCCGGCCCTCCAGGGCACAGGTCTGGAGCCAACACAGCTGTAGGATGGCACACACTGGAAGCACTCAAGACCTGGGCAAGACCCAGAGAGGTGCAGGGCACCGTGGCCCCTGGGACCCCTGGGACAGGTCTTCCTGTGTGTGGATTCACCAGGACAGTCTCTTAAAACCCACAGCAAACCAGTTAATCAGAGGTGCCGTGGGGTCAGACGGAGGAAGCATTCCTCCTGACACCTCACTGTCCCCCTCCCAGGGAGAGTTAACAGAGAAGCCAGGGAGAGGGGCATGGGGATGCAGCTCTTCACTGGATGATGTTGGAATTCCAGGGTTTTGGTTTTACTGTAGGAACTGAAACAAAAAGCAAACAAACAACTTGATTAAAAAATGGGCGACAGGGGCCTGGGCTGTGGCTCAGTGGCAGAGCGCTTGCTCAGCTCGTGGGAGGGACCGGGTTTGATCCTCGGCACCACATAAAAATAAATAAAATAAAGGTATTGTGTCCAACTACGACTAAAAAAAATTTTAAAAAAGGGGGGCAACAGACTTAAACAGACATTTGCCAAAGGAAGAGATACAGACGGCCAACAGGTGTATGAAAAATGCTCCCCATCACTAACTGTCAGGGAGGTGCCAGCCCCAGCCGCTGCCCTCCAGCAAGCACAGCTGTTATCCAAGGCACAAAAGGTGGCACAGAAGATAGCCCCAGGGAGGATGTGGCCAGGCGGAGCACACACCATCTCCAAGAATGTAAATTCCTACAGTCGTGGAGATCAGCCTGGCGCGTCCTCAGAAAATCAGAACCAGAACTGCGGTGTGATCCAGCAATGTTCACCCTGCAGAGAGGCAGAGGGAGCCAGGTCCGCACATCAGCGGGGTGTCTGCACCCCCAAGTTCACCGCAGCACTGTTCACAGTGGCCACCAAGTGGAGTCCACCCACGTGTCTGTCCACTGAAGAACTCACAAATCAAGATGGTGTGGGGCAGACCCCACGGTGCAGGGGATGACGCCTGAGAGCAGCCACTGTGAGCGCAGCGCAGTGTCCTTCCTGTTCCTCTTGGCAATTGTTATCTGTCACCATGGGACAGACGTTCAGAAGAACATGCGCCTCTCCATGTCCAGTTCTGTTTTGACAAATGGATGCAGCTGTGCCAGGACCATAGCCAAGACACAGAGCAAGGCCATCCTCCTCAGAGGTCCCCACGTCATCCTCCAGTCCTGGTGACCCCGGCTTGTCCTCTGTCCCCGTGGTTGTGTCTCTGAAAGATGCCACATGGGGGGCTGAGTGCAGGCAGCCTCCAAGGCTGGCTCCCTGTGTGGACGCAGTGTGGCTCGCGTGCCGACGTCCAGTTGGCCGTGTCCTGCCGTGGCCTGGACTCCGCTCGAGGAGGAGTGTCCYGCACCTCATGGTCTGCTCTCAGCTGGGGAACGCCTGGTTGTCTCCCCATTGGGGGGATTAGGGGTGACRCGGAATGTCTTACCAGGTTGCATTCTTGGAACCATGGGGTTGTGATGTGCTGTCATTTTTGTATGTTGCTGAATCTAATTTGCTGGAATAATTGATGACTTTTCTGTCTATGTTCGTGAAGGAAATTGGTCTGCAGTTTCTTTTGGAAAACGCCTTTGGCTTTGGTAGAGAAGCAGTCCGGTCTTTGCAAGAGGTACACTTTGGAAGACTGTGTAGAAGTCACATTTCTTTCATTGATGTTTTGGTAGAATTCATCAGTGCCGTCATGGAGGCCTCGTTTTCATTGCTGACAGGGTTTTAACTATATGTTCAATTTATTTTATGGATACAGAACTCTTTAGGCCATCTGTTTCTTTTTAAATGCATTTTGGCAGTTAGTGCTCTTTGGAAGGCTTCGTCCGTTTCATCCGAGCGGTTGGATCGGGGGCCCAGTGTTGGTGGTAGCGTCCTCGGTGGACCTGTGCCTGGCTGTGGTCCTGAGGCCGCAACCTCATTCTTACTTCTCAACCCCTGTCTTCTTTTGTCTTACCCACTCTTTCCAGAGGCTTATCAAGTCTATTGATTTTTTTCCCTCCATTAGGCTTCTGTTGTCCATTGCATTGATTTATTCTCTTTAACCTACTTCCAGAGAAGGAATTTACCTCTAGGTACTTTGCTTTTCATTTTAAAATTTATAAACACGAAGATTTAGATAAATGACACGAGATCTTTATTATTTTCTGGTAGAAACATGGAATGCTGTAAATTCTTCTGGAAGCACTCATTTATCTGCAGCCCACGGATTTTGACATGTTGTTTTTATTTTTTATTGAATTTAAAATATTTTGAAATTTTCCTGTGACTTACTCTTCTACCTACGAATTATTCTGAAATGTGTTGCTTGATTTCCAAATATTTGGGCATTTTCCAATTACCTTTCTGCTACTGATTTTTTACTTTTAATCATTTATTTTCTGTGCCTTCAACTTTTAAAATTTGTTAAAAGCTGTTATATGGGGTTGGGGTTGTGGCTCAGAGGAAGAGCACTAGCCTAGTATTCGTGAGACACTGGGTTTGATCCTCAGCACCACATTAAAATAAAATTTTTAAAAAAGGGTTTGTGTCCACCTACAACTAAAATTTTTTTTTGATAAAAAGCTTTATATGACCATAATCTGTTGAATCTTGGTGAATATACCATGAACTTTTATATACCAAATATATCAAATACTTTTCTGGGTTSAACAGTCCGTAAATGTTAGTTAGACCAAAGTTGATTGACAGTTGCACCCAGTTCTTCTGCACCCTTATTGCCTTTCTGCCAATCCTCTCTGTCAGTTACAGTTGGCCCTCTGTGCCCAAGGTCTGGATCTGCACAACCAACTCACCATGAACCAAATATATTTGGAAAAAGAAATTGCATTTGTATCAAACTTGTGCAGATTTTTCCTTGTTATTATTGCCTGAACAATACAATGTAATAGTAATTCATATACAATGTAATAATAATTCACGTAGCATTTACATGTAAGATTCCATGAGTAACCTAGAGACTGTTGAAGTATTCAGGAGGATGAGCCCAGGTTACCTGCAGATCCATACAGCGTTATCTAAGATTCTTGAGCACCCTGGCTTTGGTCTCTTGTCCCAGGAGGGACTGGAGGAGAGTGAAAGAGGCGTGTGACTCTCCGGCTGTCTGCTCAAGCTATCATTTATCCCTGATGTATGAATTTTCCTTTATTATCTTTTGAAGCGCTGTTGGTAGGAACACATACATTTAGTATTGTTACTTCATGGAAAACTGACCTGCTATCATTATGTAATGCTCTTATTCTGGGGATGGACCCAGGACCTCTCCCATGCTGAGCAAGTGCTCTGCCCCGAGCCCCATCCCAACCCCGGTGTCCTCCTCCCTCCTAGGACATGTGCTACTCTGGGGGCTACTTAGTTCCATCTATACACAGCTACTCTGGCTTTTTTGATTAGTATTCTACAGGTGCTGTATCACCTGTCTGTTCTACAGGTGCTGAATCATGTGTCTGTTCTATAGGTACTGTATCACGTAGCTGTTCTATAGGTGCTGTACCATGTAGCTGTTCTATAGGTGCTATATCACATGTCTTTTCTATAGATGCTGAATCACGTGTCTGTTCTATAGGTGCTATATCACATAGCTGTTCTATAGGTGCTGTATCACGTATCTATCATATTTGTCCTTTTACTTTCATCCTATTTATATATTCATACTTAAAGTGGGGTATTTAGATTGCATATGACTGGGCCTTGCTTTTTAATCCAATCTTAACTTTGCTGTTTTAATTGGAGTATTTACACAATTTATATTTAATATGACTATTTATGTGGTTGAAGTAAAATCCCCACTTTGCTGGGTGCTGTCTAATTTTGCCATCTCTTCTTTGTTCTCCTTTCCTCTCTCTCTGACTTTATTTGGATTGGGGCTCTTGTAGGGTGCCTTTTGACTTCCTCTGTGCACTTGGTTTTATACCTCCTTTTAATTCTTTGGTAGAGGCTGAGCTTACAGTTTGTGGGTTTCATGCACCCGTGTCTACCTTCAATCCATGCTGTAGCCTTCAGATGTCTTCTAAGATACTGTAATGGCTTCTCAGTTCCTCCTACAGGGCCCTGTGCCTTGCCCTCAGTTGGATCTTTATAAGTGACACGAATGCACACAGCCATTGTTGTTATTTTCACCCCAGACCATCAGTAACCTTGCAGAGCAATTAAAGATAAGACCATGGTAATGGCACGTAGGCCTTCATTTATTCCAGCTGCTGTATTTCTTGGTGCAGACCCAGGCTTCTGGCTCCTGGCGTGTTCCCTTAGCCTGTCTTGTAATGCAAGGCTTCTGGAAGTAAATTTGGGTATTATTGTCTGGGAAAGAATTCTCTTTTATTTTTGAAAGATATTTTTCGCTGGGCTTAGAATTCTGAGCTACTTTTTTTATGTACCCTAAGAAATTTACAAGTAATACATTATTCCTTAAAAAAGTGAAGCATTATTTTAAAAAAGCAAAGTCCCCTTTGACCTTCCCTCTGATCCTGATCTCCTCTCCCTGCAGTGGTTACAACGGGGGGAAGTTTTCGTGTGTGCTTTCGGTAACTGATGTGTGGTTTATGTTGTGTTCATAGGACACATCGGTATTGTTTAGCCTGACATTTCTCACATCGCTCCACCTCGTCTTGGTTTTGCAGCCTGCCCCAATGGGCACATATTTCTCCTATTGTATTTATATGTGTCACATCTTATTTATGGACCTGAGTGAGCATTTTTGTGCGTGGACGCAACCTTCCTGGGCTGTAGGCCTAGGCACGTTTTTAATGTGATCCGGTATTGCTTGGCTGGCTTCCCTGGCAGATTTATTTCTATACAGTCGGAGCTGCCTTCCTGTCCCCACCACCTCCCCTGGGAGTGGGTCCTCACTCCCCAGAGACGGGACCTTGGGCAGGGTCACACCTTCGTGGCTCCATTCAGGGGGTGCAGCTTTGTGGTCTCCTTCCCTTCACCTGAGCAGAGGGCCCTTATTCACCTCGAAGCCACGTCTTTCCACCTGCTCTGGTCCGATTGAGGGGCCACCTCACATTTTCCGTAGACAGAGGCCCTGTGCAGAACACAAGGGTCCCGGGAAAATCAGGCCCAGGGAGTGATGGGAGGGCTGCAGGGCCCTCTTCTGTCCCTTGTTCCCAATGGAGTTTGGCTCTTCTTGCTGGCAGGGTGGGGGGCTCAGTGCCTCCCACCTCCACGGGAGGACAGCTCATTAATCATGAAAGCCGTGGTAGAAGCTGCTGTCCCTGCCTCTCGCTCGCCAGCCTCAGTGTCACCCCTGAGCCACCTCAAATGCCCTTTCCCATCCTCTCAGGTCCCACCCACATGGGGTCACAATTTCAGTGCTCACAGTCTTCCTTGGGAAATAGCAGTGCTACTGGTGTGTGTCTCGTATGGGGACATGGCAGGGAGGTGGGGACGGCTCCCGCTGGCCACGCACCCTGCTGCAGCCATGGTGGCACTGCGGTTGCAGCTAAGTGGGACATAGCCAGGCTGGAGCCCTCTGCCTCTGGCTGCAGGTTGGTCTTTTCTGGTTACCGAGCTCACATCTACCAAGAGAACCACTTCAGAGTCCTATTTGGAATCTGAAAACAGAAGTGCAGATGAGAAAATCAGGTCACCAATGCTGTCCCCTGAGAAGGAGCCAGCTGATGTGGGAGCGTGTTTGTTTGAAGTGGTTTTTGTCTACGATCTTCTGATATGAGCACAGTATTCAATGCTAAAGCATCACAAAGGCGCAAACGTCCTACTTGGCCCTCACCTCTCGTTCTGGACCACCATGGGGTTCTGAGTGCCCTCTGTTGTCTCTCTGTGGGTCTAATCCACGTCCGTGGAGTGTCTGACACTGTTGGCTTCCGCTGTCCGTGCGCCTGTCTCGCGGTTCCTGCTGTGAGCCACAGGCYGGGTGCTCCTTCTCACTGCCGCAGCGGTCCATCCCCAGGGATGCCCTGGTATCCATTTCCCCAGGTCCACACTTCAGTTCCTGTGCGTGTTGGTAGTGTCATCCTGACTGGCAGATGACCCTGGGTGTGTGCCCTCTGTTGACAGTTCAGCCACCTCCCGGGTTTGGACAGTGGGCTGTGATACTTCATTTTGCCCTGGACGTGGTCGAGCACTGTGCAGAAGGACAGTGCTGACACAGCTCTACCCTCCTGTCCCCAGAGAGGCCCGTGCTCCCTGTGACCTGCTCGCTGTGGCCTCAGCAGCCCAGCGCCCCCAGCCCTGTGGCCTGACCCTGAGAGGCCACTGCCGCAGGCTTTGTGTTTTACATTCGGGGGGGGGGGGTAGAGCAAGCCCACAGGGCCACAGGCCTGTGTGCGGAGAGCTGCTGCCCTCTGGRATCAGTGCTGCCTCTGCTGACCATGGCTGCTGTGTCCTCAGCTCCGGTGGAGGTGTCTGGTCAAGCCAGGGCTGCGCGCGCACGGAGGGGAACCTCAGCTACTCGGTCTGCCGCTGCACGCACCTCACCAACTTCGCCATCCTCATGCAGGTGGTTCCTCTGGAGGTAAGGACTGGCTCGGGAACCGGGCATCACGCAGACACAGGGCCTCCTTCCTGGGGGTCCCAGGTCTTGCAGGGGGCGCCCTGCGAACGGGCCAGCCTTATGAGGTTCATGTCCTGGGAAACGGCGCACCTACTGCTACCACATTTTCAGGCTGAGCTGGGGAACATCTGACCCCAGTAGGTGGAGGATCCACTGTGTCAGGGGAACTGAAGGGACATGGAGAGACAGGTCATGGAGTAGGAACCTGGAGTAGGAGCCTAGGGGCTGCCTCCAGGGAGATGTGCCAGGGACAAGGACATGAGCCCCAGCTCACAAGGAGCTGCAGACAACCAGCGGGCGGGTGTTCTGCCAGCAGGCCTTGCCTTCCGGGAACCTTTCTGAGTGTCAGTCCTGCTAGAGGGTGCTGGGGTCACTGGCTGCTGGGAGGCACTGGCGGAACATCTGCTGGGAAACCAGTGTCACGCAGGCCACGAGAGGCTCAGCCTGTGGTGGGCACTGCATCAAGTACCTGTTCTCCCTTTGGTCCTGTGGCCCCTAACGAGGAGCCATCATGTTGGCCATCACAGGGGGAGGGTCTGGGGACTTCCCAAGTCCTCCAGCCCTGAGGGCAGAGCCGTCTCCTCCAGGTCCTCCACATTGAGGACTGAGAAGACTGTGCCTTCTCTGCAGCTGGGAGGGTCAGCTGGGTGGCACKGGTGGGAGAGGGCATGTCCAGCAGGGCCTGACCTGTGGTGCCGTGAGAGGGAGGGGGGGCTCGGTGCTCAAGCCAGCAGCCTGGCAACCCAGCGCCCTTGGGATTGTGGATCYACCACCTCTCAAGATCAGTGACAGCAGATTGAGTCTGTGGGTGTCTCCGTGGGAGCAAATCCATCTATTCATTGCCAGGAAAGGTTGATTTGAAAATGGTTTAAAATTATCTCTGCTAAAAAAGAACATACCCATGAATGTTAAAGAAATGAAGGCAGATGTCATGATCACATCCCAAGCCTGCGGCACGCCCCAGAACCACACACCGGCATCAGCGGCCCTACCTCCTCTGAGCTGAGCCCACGTCTTCCTCTGTGCCCCCAGCTCACCCTGCTGGCTTTGGGTTCATGGCCCAGGTTCTGTCCCCAGGAGCTCATGTCCCATCTCACCGCCTCCCTCTCCCAGGCCCCTCCTCGGTCTCCCCGAAGGCCCTTTCCTCATCTGGCTGGTGTCAGAGTCTTCTTCCTCTTGAGCAGGTGGAGCCCCTTTGAGCAACCCTGGCAGACAGTYGGCTCACCTGAGTGGTACCTTAGACAGGTGGGCTGGGGCTAGGACTGGTGCCCAGGCTGCTGTACCAGGGAGACGCCAGCATGGTTTCCCAGGGAGCTCCCTGTGTTTGGTGTGTTTCTGTGTGTGTCACATGTATGACATTGTATCCTGCTGAATGAGGCYGCATGTGGCAGTTAGCACAGGACAGGGGCTGTGGGCACAGGGCTGGCGGTGCAGGGGCAGACTTGGGACCTGAGCTCTGGTGTGTCTGTGGGGAGCCCATGAAAGCCCCTGAGGAGCAAATCCCCAGCTCTGCAAGGTGTCCCCAAAGTCAGCCTCCAGGTGTGGTGGTTTCAAGAATGGGTGGTGTCCACTGTTCCTTCCTGAGAACCTGGCTCACATCACCTGTGCCAGCTGTTGTGTGAGCCAGGCATGTGTTAGTCAGCACCACCAGGAGGGACTGGAACTCCCCCACAGGATGGCAGGGCCTGCAGAGCTGACCATACGCACCACAGCTGCTGGGCACAGGCAGGCAGGTGGAGCTGGGTTTACACTGTCCTGAGAGAGGCCATTAGGGACTGACCCCCTATGCTGTGGCTGCTGCTGTGGGCTGGCCCCACCAGGGCCTGGGGGGTGCACCACCCACTGCTTTGGTTGAGAGCAGGTGCTGCAGTTGACTTAGAGGAGGAATGTGTAGGCAGAAGAGAGAGCGACCAGGAGGCTCAGGGCTGGCGCTGACCCCTGAAGCCACTGCACCCAGCTCAGGGAACCACAGCTCCATCTGCATCAGCCCTGTGTGCTCCCCAGGTTGTGTGGGCCCACCTCTGAGCTGGCAGAAGCCAATGCCCAGTGCCTCATCCTTGGTTCCTCCCCAGGTTCTTCAGGAACCATGTGGGCACAGGCAGCTGCTCTGTGCCCCGGGGATGGATGTGCAAGGGCCCTGGGCTAGCACAGCGTCACCTGGGAAAGCCGTTCCAACAAGCCCCCCAGGGGCAACCACGGGAAGTGTGCCTCACCAGGACAGTCTCACCGTGGTACACAGGCCGACTTTGGCCAGTGGACAGGTTTCCTTTAGTCCCCATTTAAAATGTTTAAACCCAGATRTACTGTCTAGAGGTCTGGATTCCTGGTTTTAAAAGGCAGAAGGCCTGGGTGCACTGAGCTTTCACTCCCGACTGGATCAGCTGGAGCTGCCTAGCCACAGTCCCCGCAGGCTGCAGTGGGCTCCCAGCACCGGGCTCTGTCCCCTAGATGCAGCRGCCCCATTGCACCCAGCTTGTTGGAGACAGTGACACGCTGGCTTCCCTCTGGGGGATGTGCTGGCCCACGCAGGGGGCTGGTGTTGAGCAGGAGACAAAGCTTCCTTTTGCAGTGGGATTTTATCCAGAGCCTCTCTGGAAGCCTGAGTTTGTGGTCTCTGACTCAGGGATCCGTGTCCTCAAGCAAACTCCAGGCTTTTCTTGGCATTTCTAAATCTGCCCGCGGGTGGGAGCGGAAGGGCAGCTGGGGCACTGGGTGGCACAGCTCCACAGGAGCCTTCCAGTCAGGGCCCGTCCACACCCTGGGTGGGTTGGTGGAGCTATGCTCAGCGGCACCCAAGTAGGTGCTGACTGCAAGGGCTCAGTCGGCAGGGTGGGCACCGTGACCTGGGCATGTGCCCCATTACAAGGTGGCACTGGGGCTGGGGAGCCGCTGTGTGAGCCACAATGTCCCAGGGGCAGAGCTGGGCAGGGCTGTGCTGCGATTCTCCAGGGCAGACACAATATGCCATGGCTCTGAGGAAACAGCTTCCTATCCTGCAGGGTCTCCTTGGCCTGTGTCAGGACTCCCTGTGAATGACTCTGTGCTAGGTCTGTCTTTTCTAGGGCTGGGGCAGCAGCAGTCCCCTCCACTGGTAGCCAGAGATGCGGGCTCCCCGCACCCAGTACGTGCTGAGTGGCCCTGGCATGGTCCTGCTGAGCAGCGCCTCCCCATCTGTAGTGTGGCAAGACCCTCTTTGGGGAGAAGTAGGCACCACCAAGGCTGAGTGCCGAGCCTCAAGCACCCATCTCCCAACCTGGATGGCTCCAAACTAGCCCTCTTGCCAGGCCTAGGCTACTACTATTGGGGGAAAGACAGCCATGGCTTGGTTTATTCTAGAACCTTCAGGAACAAGAGTCTGCCCTGGAGCTGTGGGGGGGCGGGGCTTGAGCTTCTGCAGAGGGAAGCCTCCAGGGGTGACCTCATCTTGGGGATCCCATCTCGGGAAGAGGCTGCCCTCAGAATCAGGATCTCACCTTGGGGGGCTTGGTAGCCAGGTGTGGAGACAGGCCAGGCTGGGTTGGAGCATCCCCATCTTAGAGGGCCCACAGCAGGCCAAGGGCTAGGTGTCTACAGGGTGGGCAGCTCAGAGCTGGAGGCYTGAGGGCTGGAGGGGCTGTGGTGGCACGAGTGACCCCTGTGCTTTGTGGGCATCAGGAACCTGCCTCGTCTTGGAAGCCAGACAGCAGCAGTGGGGCCACCCCTGGGCGGCCGCCAGCCCCCACCCTGTCAGGAGTGAGGGCCTGCAGGGACCTGGGGCTTGCCCTGGGGTGCAGGGGAAACCAGGGCATGAGGAGAGGGGAGCCTGTTGTGTTCTGTAAGGATAGGTGTGGGAGGCAGTCGGGCAACAGGCAGCTCCGAGCCTGAGGACAGCCTYGGGTGACCACCTGCCTGTCTCCCTCCCAAACAGCCTCTGAAGAAGCTGGGCTTTTCCACTCGAGGCCCTAAGCCCCRAGCCCTGCTTCGTCCTTTGACAGAGGGTGGCGCCGTGTGAGGACGGCTCGCTTCCTAGAAACGGGTCTAGGTGTCCTGATGGCATAGTCYGGCCGTGCCCATGAGAGCCACCGTGTGACCCCCAGCCTCTGTGCCTCCTTAGGGGCCTTCCTTATGAGGCGGGGTTGGTGGGGCCGTGCAGCAGGAGCTGGGACCACAGAGGGACACACCAGGCTGGCAGGGACACTGGCCCCACCCCTCGTGGTCCATCTTCCACTGGTTGTGCAGGGACCCTAAGCATGGAGCTGAGGGAAGGATCAGTGGACAAAGGCCAAAGAGCAGTCCAGGCTGACGGGCACATGCCTACCCCCATTCCTTGCCTGCCCTCTAATGCCTCTTCTCTCCCCTCCAGTTCTTGGTGAGCTGCTCCTGCCCACCCAGGCAGCCCTGGCTTGGTGACCATCCTGGGTCTTAATGGCAAGAGCATTTGCCAGCTCCAGGCAGAGAGCCTCCCAGGCTGGGTCCTCTGATGGAGGTGGACTGGCATCCGAGGACAGGTGGAAATGAGCCACCTGCAGCCTGGTTGCTGCGGGGCAGGCTGGTRTCCAGAGGGGACTCCTCCTAGGCCACTTGCCCGCCTCAGAGGCAGTGGCCTCTCTACAGGGCCACCGAGGGACCCAGGACTGACCACTTCACCCCTGCTACCCACCTGGACCTCTCACGCTCCCCTCAGCGGCGCCATATGCAATTCAGAGGGGAGCAACTGGGGAAGTGGCCTCTCAGAGTGGAGAAGTAATTCAGGAGCTGCTTCAAAGGRAGGAAGACCTGAAGCTCCATGAGGTGGTGAGGCATGAGGGCCAGCCACAGAGGAGCCATCTGTCTCAGATGCAGGGCAGAGCCCTGGATAGGGCAGCAAGTCCAGCAGGAGCCATAACAGAGATGTGACTATTGCCCCCAAAGCCACCCATGGCCCAGTGAGAAAAGRGCCATTGACCTCATCCCCACAATGCCTGTCCCACCTGGCAGGGACCTGGCACCCAGCTAGTCAGCCTGTGGGCAGACCTGGGCAGAGGCAGCTTGGACCCAAGAACTCAAGGTCTGGGACCTGACTTGGGTGCTCAGGACAAAGTACCCCCATGTACCTGCAGGGAGAGGAGGATCCTGCCCCTGGCTGGCAGCTGGGCCCCTGGCTGGGTGGCTGAGGCTGGTGGCTGGTGGCTGAGACCCCTGACTGAGTGACTGAGGCCCCTGGCTGGCGGCTGAGGCCCCTGGCTGGGTGGCTGAGGCTCCTGACTAGGTGGCTGAGGCCCCTTGCTGGCATCTGAGACCCCTGGCTGGGTGGCTGAGGTTGGTGGCTGGTGGCTGAGACCCTTGGCTGGTGGCTGAGGCCCCAAGGCAGGGCACACAGCCCCACACTCAGGCCTGGGGCCTGTGGCAGGCAGCTCTGCCCAGCTGGGAGTTCTCAATGGACCCTGCTCAGCCCGCAGGTGCCCTGCAGATGCATCCTGCAGCACTCAAGGACTGAACCCAGAGAGGAGGCCAGGCTTCCTGACCCCATGGAAAAATCACCTCCATTGTGAATCACACACTGTAGGGTGTGTGGCCAGTCCTACTGACTCCCACAGTCCCTGTGCCCCGTGTCCATTCCTGACCTCTGCCTCCGGGCTGGGCCTTGGGGCCTGCAGCGTTTCCTCCCCTGGCCAACAGCATTCCCTCTGTGAGGCCTTTGCCCCTCCTCATGAGCAGTGCTGGGGAGCAGCTTCTAGGCCCTCCAGCAGTGCCACAGGTGGGGGCTGGAGGCGGAGGCCCCCTCCTGTCCTAGGGACGGATCTTGGTGTGTGGTCTGTGGCCTCTGGACAAGACATCCACAAGGCATTCAGGACCCAGGCCTCTGACAACAGGCAGCAGGCCTGGCCTTGAGCCTCGAGCCTCAGGAGCAGGTGGGRCCCAGGGCAATATGTGTCCAACCCTGAGGCCCAGACGGGAGCCATTGTCCTGAGGCTGTGCTGTGGGGTGGCCTGTGGCATCTGCATTTACACACTGCCTGATGTCTGAAAGGTGTCACACGCCCCGGAGGCGAGTGTGAAGTCCATGTAGGCTGCAGGTGCTGGGGCCTGTGGGTGCTAGTGCAGAAGGAGCAGCCATGCCAAGGGCTGTCACTCTTGGTGGGGTGGGGTGGGATGGGGGTGCAGAGTGGGCACCAACCCACCACAGGGTCACAGCATGCCACCCAGCAGGCACCCTCCAAGCCATACTGTAAGTAAATCCCTTCAGCCCCTGGTGCCCTGACACAGGCKCGGCAAAGTCTCATTTCACGGCCAGAGGCCTGCAGCCCGCTCGGTTCCAGAGCATCTACTGGGACACAGACCAGCTGGACTTGAACCCTGGCGGTCTGCTCTGGACCCTGCTCTWCCCCTCTGCAGGCAGCCCAGCCTAGGCAGGAGGTGTGGGGAGGAGACCTGAGGGATCTGGGGGCAGCCAAGCAGCCCACAGCACCCCAGGTGCTGTGCATCCAGGGGCACCACTTAAGACTGCCCATGGGGGCAACTGCAGGCGCCCSGGTGGGCGCTGTGGCCCGGATCTGGGCCCTCTGGCCTGCGCCCACGCCCCTCTCTGCTCCTGCAGCTTACACGCGGCCACCAGGTGGCGCTGTCGTCCATCAGCTACGTCGGCTGCTCACTGTCGGTGCTCTGCCTGGCCGCCACGCTGGTCACCTTCGCAGCTCTGTCGTAAGTCACCCTGTCCCCAGCTCCGGGAGGTGGGCAGCTTCACAGACATGTCGATTCCCCTGTCCCCCTGCATCTCCTCCTGGCGTTTGCAGTCCCACAGGACAGCCCAGCCCTGCTCGGACCCAGTTCACCCTGGGCCGATGACCCTTACCCAGTGCCTGTGCCCTTGAATCTGCAGTGCAGGGAAGGGCTGTGGAGTGGGGACCCAGGTTTCAGCCACACAGGAAGGCCTGCAAAGACCCCCAGCTCAGACCCAGGCAAGGGCAGATATGGCATCCGTGCTGATGACCTGTTCCTCAGCAGGCCACACTRGGCATGTGGTCAGCTCTGAGGGCCCGGCTATGCCAAGACAGACAGGGATACACTTGAGTGGGTATTGTCAGAGGTTAAGAGAGGAGGAAAGCCTACAGGACAGAATGAGGTGAGCTGCTCAGGGCAGGAGGTCAGGAAGTTCTGTCTGAGAGGAAGCATCTGAGCCACCATGCAGAGCCCTGCTTGGGAACAGCAGGTACAAATGCCCTGGGGCTGGAGGCGGGGGCTCAGACTGCAGGGCCACTGGGGCTGTGGAAGGGCAAGAATCCCACCTAAGAGCAATCGGGAGCCAGAACAATCCAAGCAAGGAGGGGCAACACTGGGCTGAGCTTTATAAGACTCCGTTCAGGGGAATGGACATTGAGACCACTATGGGAGCAACAGGTGCCCCGCCTGGGGAGGGGTGGCAGAGTCTGAGCTGGCACTGGGACTCACACCCCACTGTATCCTCAGCTCTGTCAGCACCATCAGGAACCAGCGCTACCACATCCATGCCAACCTGTCCTTTGCTGTCCTGGTGGCCCAGGTCCTGCTGCTCATCAGCTTCCATGCTGAGCCGGGCACGGTGAGTGGGCAGCCCTCATGCTGGGGCCATCCTGCCTCCCCAACCTCACTGGGGGGCGCATGCAGATCTCCCCTGTGGCARGGCTGGTCTCTGCAGAGGGAAGGCCAGGCCCTCTCCTGGACAGGCCACCATGCCTGGAGGGACTCAGTGATGATTGGCCAGCCCTGAGCGGATACAGACAAACCCCAGGATCAGAAAGGGCAGCCTGGTCTCCCCAGGAAGAAAATGAGGCCGCCTGAGCAGAAGCTGCCCGAGGCGGAGGCTGGGCCGACAGCAGACCCCTCACCCCGGTCTCCCCATCTCCGCCGACCCCTAGATCCCCTGCCAGGTGCTGGCCATACTCCTGCACTACTTCTTCCTGAGCGCCTTCGCCTGGATGCTGGTGGAAGGGCTGCACCTCTACAGCATGGTGGTCAAGGTCTTCGGCTCGGAGGACAGCAAGCACCTCTACTACTATGGGCTGGGCTGGGGTAGGTGGGCCGGGGTACGAGGGCAGACGCGGAGGGAGGTTGGGTGATGGTGCCTTCTGTGGCMGGGAGGAAGGAGCCCTGCTGGTCCAGGGCAAAGCTCCCATGTCTCCCGAAACACTCCAACGTCCYGACGTGGCTGGGGGCTTGGTCTTACAGAGAACCCACATTGGGCGTCTTGCCTTTCTGTTGACCATCTCATGAATTCCTGCTTTCATCTCACCCTTCCTGCCCCCTGCTCAGGCCCTGTTCTCTCCTCCTGTGTGTGGGGACAGTATGGGCTCAGTGCCCACTGTGGGGTACCAGGCGTGCATTTCCCTCTTGRCGCTACTTTGACTGCTCCGTGCTCCATGTGTGTGTGTTTCCGTGCACCTCAGAGCCTTTCTGGTTCTCAAACATCCTTCTCTGACCCCTTGCTGTTTGACCTCCACAGACTTGTACCTCTCCTGCCTCTTCCTAGGATTTCTGCCCCTTCCCCTGGAATGGCTAGTCTGACTCGTGAGCTTGTGGGGTTTGTTGTACAGTTGGTAAATGGCTGTGCTGGGAGGTGAGCAGATGGCCTCTGTGGCTTGGACAGGTGCTCTGCGGACCGCTCAGGCCTGTCTCTGTTTCCTCTTTGATTTTCCTCTAGTTGTTTGTCCCTGGAGAGCGGGTCCTGAAGTCACCACCTGCTGTGTTGTGACTTCTCCCTTCAGTTCTGTGGGTTATGCTTCMGGTGTTTGGGGCTCTGCTCTGGGTCAGGGGCATAGCCTTGGCAAGAGCATGGCCCCTGGCATGCTGGAGGCTCACCTGAAGGGTCCCCCCAACCCCTCCCTGTGAGATGTGGGCCACCACAGGCTCCTCCAAGTGCCAGTGGGTTGCTGTTGTTCCCAGCAAGGACCTAGGGCACACCCCACTCCATGGCCCTTTGCAGGGTGGCTTTGAGGCCAGTCTTTGAGGTGCAGGCCTAGTGGGGTCCCTTGCCTGGATCTCCCTGCCTCTTCTCCTCAGTGTGGTGCTCTGGGACCTTCCTCTTCCTGGTGCACCCTCAGGCCCCATCCCTTTCCAGGGTGTGCCCTTGGCTCCAGCTCTCCACACTCCTCCAACGGACTCGGGTCCCACGCGGAGCACTTTAGAGTGTTGTGGTCTAACCCCCTGCTTCTCTCCTGGGAAAATTCCCCAAGGCCAGGGGCAGGGGGACATGGCCTCTGCCCTGAGAGCAAGCTGAGAAGGGACAGAGAAGCCCCATGTTTCTAGCCCACCTACTGTGGGGCCTTGCACACTGCCAGCTGGAGCCGGAGGGCAGGAAGCCCCTGCAGCAGCTGCCCCTGGCTCAGGGTTCCAAGACATGGGGTTCTGGGAGTAGGAGGCGGGGTCTTGCCCTGGGCRGGGCGGTTGATGAGGCCTGTGGTGTCCACACTGTTGGAGCTGTGGCTTCCTCGCACGCATGGGGATGGTGGGGAAGCCGGAGTTGAGTTCTCAGCCAGAGTAGGGGATTTTCCCGAGTGAACTTGCCTTCGTTTGCTGGGCACCTTAGGAAAATGCACAGACTGAAAGTTTGTTTAAACCACTCAGCCAGAGCGTCTGTGCCCGGGCCTGGGCGTGTCCTCTCCCATGGAAAGCCAGTGTGTTGGACTCTTGCCCATGCTGGGGCATCCGGGCGAGCACAGGGCCCCCTTTCTGCAAGGCTTGGGCTGTTACCTGGTGTTCTTACCATTGCTGCGAGGTGTGGATCCGGCTCTGGGGACCTGCTGCCTGTTTCTAGTTTTCTCCAAATAGATTTAATTTTCGCAGCCCTCATCATGCAAGGAGGAGATTAAGCTTGTTTACTTTGTGCTTTGAATTGGCAAATGTAATTTATTTGAGGAATGAAGTGGAGTTAAATTATGCATCCCTCATGGCCTCCCCGGGGAGCAGGGAGCAGGGAGCAGGAGACCTAGGCCCCTCCTCCCCACTGCAGCTGCCCCTGCAGGGAATCCCTGAGGTCTGCGTGGAGTCCTGGGCCCACCTTGCTGCCCCCACTGCAGGGTCACCATTTGCACACACTGGCCCCAAGTCCAAATGTYTACCCCTGTCCACTCCCAGAGAGCCCAATTCCAGTGTGACCAGCTCCCGCAGTCCTTCCTGACTCCCCAGGGGAGAGCTGCTTCTTCCTGTGAGTCTGACTCCATTAGCAAGGATTTAGAAGGTGATTGCCCGCCACCTGCAGTTTTCCAGTTTCTCCAAGGAAAGAATCACGCCATTTAGAGGCGCAGGCGTGCGCACGCAGCACGTGAATAATAAGCCCCAGCAAAGACAGAGGAATGTACGGAAAGGGTTGACGAATCCRTCCTGAGGGGGAGAGAGGAGCCCAGTGAGCGGAGCTGCCAAGGTCGGGTGGGAGTGTGTGTGATAATCGAGTCGATGCAGCCTGCAGGAGCCATGTTGGAGAAAAGTGGGTTATTTGCCAATACTTGAAAATTGAGGGACTTTGCATAAAATTACCAAGTTCTTTTGAAGAACGAGGAGGTCCACGCACACGGAGTTTGTATTCCTGCTAGGCAGCACAGGCTGCAACTATGCGGCTTCTGATACAGAYGCCTGCGGTCCCTGCAGGGTTTGAGTCTGTGGCCCTGACGCAAGCTGCGTACAAACAGAGCCAGGCGCCATCTCAGCCCTCCATCTATCTCCCTGTCAGCTTCCCCTTAATTAATTTTATCAGGAGCCCGTGAGCTGCGTCCGTCATCCCAACCCAGCTCCTTGGCTTTGGGCCTAAGTAAAGACAGTCTCCAGGCAGCAGGCTCTCCCAGCCTCTGCCATTAATTAAGAAGGAGCTGGAGGCTGACCCAGAGCAGGAGAGGCCACACTGCAGGCGGAGCTCTTGGAGCCCTTGTTCCTTACCTGGCCGTGTACCAACCCRCCGGCAGTACCATGCTCTGGAAGCCCCGAGGCTGTTCAGAGCTGAGGTAGGGGCACAGGGTGGTCAAGTCAGCCACTGTCCTTAAGGCTTGCTGGGGGCCAGGTGCTCTGCGGGGACTGTGAGGGGCATGAGGTGAGTGGAGTGGCACCACCCCCAGGAGTGTGGGGACACCCAGGAGAGGAGGGGAGGGTGAGAAGCAGAGTCTGTACCTCCCTGCAAGAGAGGAATCTGATCACAAGCTCAGCAGGGGAGGGAGGAAGGTGGCCTGTTTTATTTCCCTTTATTGCAATTCAGTCTCTCTCATGAGACTGGGACATTCAGTAATTCATTTATTCCACATTTGAAGCAAAGTGTTTCAGGGGCAAGATTCTTTCCAAGGTGTTTAACTTAAAAACAAAATCCGAAACCCTGGTATTCAAGAAGGGGGCAGGATGCCCCCCCTGCCAGGGTGCTGGGCAGCTGTGGCCTGGAGGTGCTGGGAGGACAGCCTGCCCGTCTTCTCCTCCAGTGCAGAACCTGCCAGGAGGGAACCAAGAGCCATCCCGTGTTCCCACCCCATCTTTAGTTCAGGAATCTGAACTAAAGAGGGCCTTGATGGCCCTCTGGGGAAGGCCCAGATGGAACAGGGAGCTGGCCCTGGCTATCCTTCTGCAGAGGGTGGAGAGCAGGGACACCCCATGGGGCCGCTGCRCCAGATCTAGCTTCCTGCAGGGTGCTCTGCTCTCTGAGCCGCTGGGTGCATTGTTTGCAGAAACAGGTTCACAAGGGCTCTGCCTCCGAGCACAGGTGTGTGTGCAGGACTGGCTGCCGGAGCGGGTGCCRTGGTGGCTCAGCCTGGGCCATGCTGCGATGTGTCTCCCCTTCAATCACAGGCACATTCACCTCTGACCCTTCCTAGCTGCAGAGGGAGATTGGAGGCCAGCTCACCTGGGGTCAGGGCAGAGCCTCTAAAACCAATCCAACCCTTGAATCCCTTCTTTGCCGAGACACTGAAATCTCTGGGAATTGCCAGTCCAGGTGTTTTTTCTTAGATTTCCCTTGACCTCCACCTCTTCCACACAGTCTGACGGCTTTGTAAATCATTGAAAGCACTTAATTAGTCACACTTAGTCCGGCTCAAACTGGCTTAGGCAAGCAGGGAGTCTAATGGCTTACCTAATGAAAAAGGTCCAGGGTGGTGGACTTCAGCTTGATCCACAATCACCATCTGCCCTCCTTGCCAGGCATGGTGGCGCACGCCTGTCATCCCGGTGACTGGGGAGGCTGAGACGGGATGATCACAAAGTTCCAGGCCAGCCTCAGCAACTTAGTGAGGTCCTGTCTCAAAAATAAGGGGGCTGGGAATATATCTGAGAGGTAGAGTGCCCCTGGGTTAGATCCCCAGTACAAAAAAGAATTTTAAAAAGTTTTGCTTTCCTTAACATTCTCTAAGTTGGTGCTGCATCTCTGCCCTGGATGCCAAGGCGGCTGGGTGGATAAGGGTCCCCCTGGTCTTCGCTCTCCCAGGAACCAGTGGGAGCTTCTCGCACAGCCATGTCAAGGAAGTCCCTTAACAGGGTCTCATTTGTCCATCAGGGCTAAGTGCCCTGACTAGTCACTGTGGCCAAGCACTGGATGTCCCAGCAGCCCCTGTGAGTCACCTGCCTCTAGAGCCAGGGACAGGAGGCCCCTGAGCCACATGGATGGTGAGGTGGTGTAGCTCCCTGAGCAGCACTGTCTCAAACATTGGCTGCTTGGGCACCGTGTCTGCGACAGTGCAGCTGGCCGCCCAGGACTCCAGGGCCAATTGAGCTCGCTCCCTCCCCGCCTCCCTGTGGATCTTCAGGGGGGTCTCAGCTGACACTACTGATTCTGTCCCATGATCCTCTGCACTGTGGGGGCTCTGCCAATGATCCCCCTGGGGCTGCAGAGCACTGTGAGGAGGTCTGTCCCATGATCCTCCTGGGG